ACTTATATTAAAGTTTTTCTTCATTACCCACTCACGCCGTCTCCAGCCATTATTAGTCTCAAAGTGGGTTCCTCGTCATCGAATTTGGTCAATGATTGTTTATCCATGTTAATTTTGTCAGACAGTAAGTGGAACAAGTAATGATATTTCAGTTAAAAGTTGTTCGTTTGTTCCTTGTTATGTTGAAGTTTATGTTTCACGACATTAACCTGCATAAAACACACAGAAAACTGAAGGAATAATGTTGGAAGATATTAAAATAATACTGAATACGACTACATGTATGGGAAGTAATGTGATGATGTTTAGAATTGGGGACTTCAAGCCGGTGTTGTTATTAATTTTGAGCTGTGCTTACAATCCCAAAATGACTGGAGTTTGTGTTACAGGTTTGATATTGGACTTACATTGCTGTTACAGGTCTGATGTTGGACTTGCATTGTTCAATGTGTTCCAGGTCTTTAGAAACTTGGGTCCAAAATTGGCAAAAGTTCTAACTGGTCTTTATCTGGTCCACTCAAAGATCTTTGATATATACATTAATTCTATTTTATCATTTGTGGATATGAAGTTTTTAAAGGACACAGTTGCAAATATTTATGTGCATATATTTGTAGCATTAAACAAAACTCAACCCAAAACATCAGTTTTTGATTATATTACTCTCGGAATGTACATAACCTTTATATTAATCCAGATAAACACAAAAATAATGTGACTTGAGATTACTACTTTAAGACTGACCAAAAGATAAGGTATTTTTCCTTTGAGATGTTAATGTTCATCACACTATGTATGGATTGACTCCTCTATTCCACTGTTCCAGAAACCTTCTTTTCCAATTTCATGGGGATTTCCCATTATATTTAGAAATAGACCAGTTTTCCCCAAAAAGCTAGTGGCTCCATTTCGGAGAATGAAGTAAAGAAAATATTTTTACAAAATGAAAACACAGCTATGATTTTAGGAAAATGTATAGAAATGCACTTAGACGACGAGCTAAAAATAGGAAAAATGATTAAAATTCTTATTGGACGTATAGGTTAGTTATTTTTCGTATTGTTTTCTATTAACAAATGATTTTACAAATATTGTGATTTTCTCATAGTAACATCACGAATATTTCTAATAAAAATTATAATTCATTTATATTAGTTTTTAATGTTTTATCTGCATGCATTTTGTTGACTGCACTAGTTTCTCCTGTCGGTTCTATTAAATATTCTGTAGTATTTTATTTGCATCTTATTCTTATCGTTACTCAGTATTAATGAACTATTTTCCGAATATTGTGACTTGTTCGCAGTTTCTGCATTAAAAGCATTAATACTTAAATTAATATTATCAATTAATTATTCGATTTTCTTTTTAATTCACTTATATTAGTTTCTAATATTTTATTAAAATCTTGTAATTGGTCAATTTTTCTACGTACATTTCATTAACTGCATGAAATTCCTGACATGCTCCTAAATTCCTGATGTCAAACAAGGATTGCACCAGCTTTATCTAACTTGTTTTAAGTTATCATGAAAAAAGGTGGTTAGAAAGTTGTCCCGAACAGTTAACCCTTTTAATTGCAGAATATATGTTGATGATACATTTGTAGTTTTTAAAAATAAACTTCACGTTCATGAATTTCAAAATTATTAAAACAGTCAATAGAACAACATTAAATTTATAACTGAAGAATAAACTGTAGAAACCTTACCTATTTTAGATACCAAAATAATTCCCTTAGGAAGAAGTTTTGAGATTAAGTGGTAAAATAAACCAACATTTACTGGGCGATATTTTAATTTTCACAATTTGTTACCTTTTGAGTTTAACAAGAATTGATGCCCCCAGTGGCACAGCGGTATGTCTGCGGACTTGCAACGCTAGAAACCGGGTTTCGATACTCGTGGTGGGCAGAGCACAGATAGCCCATTGTATAGCTTTATGCATAATTCCAAACAAAAACAAGAATTTAATTTATAATTTAATTCATTGGGCCTATAATATAGTTCCTTTTCTGGATTCCACGAAGAAACCGAAAATGTGTTTTTTTATAGTGAAATTGTAAGAAAATGAAATACACAAATACTTAGGCTGGTAATATGTGAATAAGGAAGGAATAGATGCCTACAGTATGCTTATTAAAATGATTTAGAGTTTACAAGTCATCATAATACTATATTGTTACGCCTCCAGTCGTTAATTGATTTTCCGTAACTTCGTTCCGACGAAACTTTAGCGACACAAGTCCTTACTTAATAAAACTGGTTTATTCTTTCTGAATATAACTTTACCGATACACTTATTTTCAACAGTCGCTCTATAACAAACGTTTTAACAACGAACGTTAACTTCAACAATACTTCTGCCTGCAGTTCAATTACTCACTACCTACACACACTTTGTTGTCACGTTGTGAGCGTCTTATATATATATACCAGACAACATATATCTAGTAAATGCTAGGGCATTCACGAAGGAACAAGATAGTTCTAGAAACGTGGCGTGACACTAGTCACGTGACCTCGCTAACGCAACAATATGTATGTTGTTTTAAATGTCTTTTACTACCACAGTAATCACACTTTTAAACGAGAATTTCAAGAATATACATTACTGATGCTACTAATTTATTTTGGTGGGTTATTTAGTCAGTCAAGCTATTTTAAATGTTACGCAATAAATGTCAAATTATACTATAATTCGCTTTACAACTTAAATG